TGTCCCCAGAGATGATGTCTCCCTCCAGAGGAGCTGCAGAGCCAAGCAGAGGACCCTGATAAGGGGAGCCTGGGAAAAGCCACACAAGTTCCGGATTTGCCCTTCCAGTTCCCTCCTTGGCCCCAAGTGTGAAATGGAATTGGACAGGGGTTCTAGTGCTGCCTGCCTAGGCCTAGCCCTCACACTCTGAGAAACTCAGCTGCCAGGGCCTGAAGGGTCTATAATGTACCCATTTGCTAACAAGCAAATATTTTCCCCAGCCAAGTCACTTAGGAAACGTCATTCCTAGAGCCACTGGTCTCTGCTGAAGGCCACCAGAGTTCTTGCTTTTGCTTTTCAGGCCCCCTTGAGCTGGACATCTGCCGCTGTATTGGAATCTTTGTCCCAGTGTGGTGCACTGGCATTGGCCCAGCGCTCTGGGGTGGTGAGGACACTGAGGAGCACTCCTGTCTCTGTAGAAGCAGCTGTGCACTTGAGGACAGAGCTACCACAGATGTCGGCAGCCCACAAGGGTCACACTCCCCAGGCTCTAAGGTGTGCTGCAGTCCTGTACATCCAGATCGAACTCCTTCAGTTGGGCAGTGGTCCTAGCCAGGCCACAGGCTTATTTTGAGTCTCCCAATGCTCCTCATTGACACGATTTCTTAATGTTCCCAGCCTGTGCACCAATGTTGAGGTGTCCATCACTAACTCTTTCCTGCTCGGGTTCTAAACAGATTGAAAGTAGAACAAGGAGGAAGCCTGGGTGGTGAGAATGTCTTCTTATTGGCGGAGAGCTGCCTTTAAGATAGCGGTCCCTAACATTTTTGGCACCAGGACCGGTTTCATGGGATACAATTTTTCCACGGTCGGGGAGCATGGGTAGGGGAGGGCAGGGGGCAGGTGGGGGACCTCAGGTGGTGATTCAAGTGATGGGGAGTGGCTGTAAATACAGATGAAGCTTTGAAGCGTTGCTTTCTCACCCACCGCTCACCTCCTGCTGTGCAGCCCAGTTCCTAAATTTCATGGAAGACAAATTTTCCATGCATGGGAAGTGAGGAGAGGTGTGGGGAGGTAGTGGGGTTGAGCTCAGGTGGTGATGTGCACCCCATTCCTAACAGGCCTCGGCCCTGGGGTTGGGGGCTGCTGCTTTAAAGAATATGCTTAGATGTGCTGGCCCAAGGCTCCATGTCCGCTACCCATGTCCCATACTGGTCCCCAGAAGTAGGCCGAGCCTCAGCCTGGTAAAGGCCATGCAAGGGCGGCTCTAGAGAGCAGAGGATGCAGGCTTGCTCCCAACCAGGCCAAGAAGCAACAGTGTATGCCTTTTGTTCCCCCATTTTTCTTCCGTTGCATGCTTTTTTGATACAATTTCTGTCCCGACCTTCCAATTTGCCCATATACTATCATGTACAGTGGTAGGCATGATAATAATAGTAACTAACAGTGACTAAGATTTCCCGCACTCACTGGGCTTGGCTCTGTTCTAACTCATGTGCACCCTCGGTAGCTGTCCCAGGATAACTGTCCTATTACTGTCCCCAAACAGACTGGGGCACGGAGAGGTGGCATGGGCCTTCTTGGCATATGGTGAAAGTCAGTTAGTTGAGCATCGTCCAAAGGGGTGTAGACGATGGGGTCCAAAGGGGTTCGGCCTTTGAAGGTAAGTGGGGAATCTGCAGTGAGGAGCTCTGGTTTGCAGATGGTAGAGGCCTCGGTCAGTTCTGCTGGAGACCAGTACACAGCTGGTTAGGCTCCAGCTGGGAGTTTTCTTGCTTGAAATGTGTGGCATAAATGTGTTTGGCAAGTGTTTGTCCTGCAGCTCTGGGTAGAAAGAACCTGGGACTTAATATTTAAGAACAACTTGATTATATCACCATAGGAGCCCAGATATAGTTTTACAGATATGTTTTTGTCTTGTTTTTAAAAAATGCATTTATTTTCCCTGGCCAATATAATTTTTCTCAGGGGCTTTACTCTTTGATCTGGACTGGAAAAAATGTTACCATTTTAAAGACCTCTTAAAACATGTCTTTGGATTTATTGTCTGTGCAAATGGAAATTCAGATAATAGCTCTGTTCTTAACTGAAGAAAAACAGGAAAAGAAAATAAATTTCTTGCTACTTGGAATGATAAACAAGGTGAAGCATGTGCTGTATATCCTGGCAACAGAAATTTAAGGTTGGAAATAATTCCTTTCCTCCTGAGCCTGCCTTCAGCCTCCCTGAGGAGTGCAGCGGCTGAAATTTGCTACTAATTGTAGCCATAATTTTAGCATGCAATTAAACACATGATTTCCTTCCCAGCTGATGTCTTTTTAGCTAGTCTGACATGGGTAAAAGAAAAGCTCTGTTGATTTGAAAGGCCATCTTAATCTGATAGGAGGTCACGGAAAGTGACCATTATTTGAGCATGTTCAGCTACCCAGTAGGGACTAGATTAATCTTGCCTATACATATAGCCATCAACTTGAGTGCTTCTAATGTAATTACCAGTGCTACTGTCTGTGGTCAAAGAAAGCCAGTTGTTGGTGTGTACATTTTGCTAAATCCCTCTGAGGTTAAAGATCACTGTAGGGAGTAAACTGAATGGGGAAGAATCAGAGCTGGAAATTGTGGGCTTGTGGTGGTGGGAGCAGAGGCTCATGGAAGTCACTCAGGTTGTGGAGGGACCCCAGGGCATGAGACCTGCTGGCATCCAGCAGGCTTGGGAGAAGAGCCACTCTCCATGTGGAGTCTCTACTGGGTACAGCACCAAAATGGCCTTCCACAGTGGTTATGTGTTTACCTTCCCGCTGTTACAGTCCTGCTAACACACGTTCTTTCTCACCCTTGGCGTTACCAGACCTTTCTTGCCATGTCTGTTGGGCATGCAGCGGCTTCTGTGTTGTTTAATCTTGCATTTCCCTCTTTCTCTCGGGTCTGGCCACCTTTTCCTGTGCTGACTGGCTGGCCCTCTTTCCTAGGTTTCTGATTGTATTGATCTGAGTGTGCTATCTATCTATTTATTTATATTTGTACAAATTTGTGGGGCACATGAGAAATTTTGTTAAATGTATATAATACGTAGTGATCAAGTCTCAGGGTAGAGTGTCCATCACCTGAGTACAATACATTTTTGTTAAGTAGAGTCATCCTACTCTGCTATCAAACCTTGAGTTTATGCCTTCTATCTTTGTGTATGTTTGTATGCTTTGACTTCTCTTCATCCCCTCCCTTCCCAGCCTGTTCCCAGCCTTTCCACTCTCTACCTCCATGTGTTCAAATTTTTTAGCTCACACACCTAAGTGAGAATGTGTGATTTTTGTCTTTTTGTGCCTGGCTTATTTCACTTAAGATAATGACCTCTAGTTCTGTTCATATTGCTGCAAATGACATGATTTCACTATTTTTTAATGGCGGAATAATATTTCATTGTGTGTATGGACCACATTTTCTTTATTCATCTATCCACTGATGAACACTTAGGCTGATTCCCTGTATCTGCTATTGTGAATAGTGCTGCGATAAACACGTGAGTACAGGTATCTTTTTGAAACGTAGATACCCGTAGTGGGATTGCTGGATCGAATGGTAATTCTGTTTTTAGTTCTTTGAGAAATCTCCATACTGTTTTCCATAGAGGTTATGCTAATTTACTTTCCCACCAACAGTGTATGAGTTCCCTTTTCTTTGCATTCTTGCCAACATCTGTTATTTTTTATAATAGCCTTTCAGACTGGTATAAGATGATATCTCATGGTTTTAATTTGCATTTCCATGATGCTTAGTGATGTTGAACATTTTTTCACATACCTGTTAGCCATTTGTGTGTCTTCTTTTACGAAATGTCTTTTCGTGTCCTTTGCCCATATTTTAATGGTATTATTTGTTTTTTTTTTCCTGTTGAGTTGTTTGAGTTCCTTGTGTAATCTGGATTTAGTATCCTGTCATATGAATAGTTTGCAAATATTTTCTCTCATTAAACAGGATGTCTTGCTGGGTGTGATGGCTCATACCTGTATTCCTAGCTCTTTGGGAAACTGAGGCAGGAGGATCATTTGAGGCAGGTGTTTGAGACCAGCCTAGGTGATAGCAAGACCTCCCATCTCTACAAAAATTAAAAAAAAAACTTAGCCGGCCATAATGGTGCTCGCTTGTAGTCCCAGCTACTTGGGAAGCTGAGGCAAGAGAATCACTTGAGCCCAGGAGTTTGAGGTTGCAGTGAACTATAATGAGACTACTGTACTCTAGCCCGGGCAACAGAGTGAGACCCTGTCTCAAACAAACAAACAAACAAACAAAAAAAGAAACAAAAAAGCAATCTGTCTCTTCACTCTGTTGATTATTTCTTTTGTTGTGCAGAAGCTTTTTAGTTTAAGTTCCATTTGTCTAGTGTTGTCTTTGTTGCCTATGCTTTTGGGGTCATAGTCATGAATTCTTTGCTTAGACCAATGTCTAGGAGAGTTTTCCCTAGGTTTTCTTCTAGTATTTTTATAGTTTCAGGTCTTACACTTAATTAAGTCTTTAATTCATTTTGGGTTGATTTTTGTATATGGTGAGAGATAGGGGTCTTCTGCATGTGGCTATCCAGTTTTTCCAGCACCATTTAGTGAAGAAGGTGTCCTTTCTCCAATGTAAGTTCTCGTTGGCTTTGTTGAAGATCAGTTAGCTATAAATGTGTGACTTTATTGCCAGGTTCTCTATTCTCTTCCATTGGTCTGTTTGACTATTTTTTTTACCAATACCATAATGTTTTGGTTACTGTAGCTTTGTAATATATTTTGAAGTCAGGAAATTAGTTATGTTTTTGATTTATTTTTAAAATTTATTTTTCTATTTATTAGAAATTATTTATTTCATTCAAATCAAGAATATATAATCAATAACATTTTCTAGCTATCTATTTCAAAATCAATAATCTTCAAAATGAAATAACTGTTATATAATCAGCAGAAAAGAATTGGGTTAATAGTTATGTTTTTTAGCTGGGATAATCTGGGGTCTTTACCTCTTCTAACTGTTTTGAATTGCCCTTTCAGATGGCAAGTTTGGTGCCTACATGCAAGTGCACATTCAGAACGATGGGCCTGTGACCATAGAACTGGAATCCCCAGCTCCTGGTGCTGCTACCTCTGACCCAAAGCAGGTAAGCCTGCAGTCAGGTCCTGTGGTCTGGCTCCTGGGTGCCTATAACATTTTATTAGTTTCCGGAGCAGTTCTCAGTCTTAGGTGGAGAAAATACTTTATCATTGTAACCTTATATTTATTTTACTACCTTCCTTCTAAGAATGCATGTTTACATTGTATCTCCCGGAGTACTGTGGAAAGCACTTCTTCCTTGCCTCTTCCTCCCTTTGGACTCCAGAGAAAATGTGCTTTGCAGAGCCAGGTTCTTCCTCTGGGTTCCTGTTTCCTGGGGCCAGCTGCCATGGCACCCACCGGCCCCTGGGTGGCAGCAGAGCAGTGGCCCTGCACTTGCCAGTTCATCCATTTTGAAGGGTTACTTGGAATGGATTTGATCTCAGGTGTGGGTAGATATGCCATCCAAAGCTCATTTTTTTAAAGCAATGTCTGATCTGTATTTGTTGCCAACTCTGTAAGTTTTCAGATAAAAGAAAGGAAGTATGTGATAGTCTTTGCAAATTGTATGGTCTCAAAGATGCTTAATATACTTTTAAAGGCTTTAACATACCTACTTGATAGAGACGTGTGGGGCTTGGCACACAGAGGAGTAAGAACTGAAGGACGTTTCTGTTCTTGCTTCTTGCCTCTCTTCCTTGCGGGGATGCTTGAAGTGTAATGGTACAATAGTGGGGAAAGCATCATTGAAACTTGAAGCTGGGTGACCTGTTCAAAGCCAGATTTTTTTTTTAAGGGGAGCATGACATTTTCTTTTTTGTTACTGATGGTTTGTGTTGATAGAGAAGTAGGCACATGTCTGATGCAGTAGGCTAGACTTCAAAGGGTGGTAATTGAGGGTCTTGGAATTACTAAGAACATTTAAAAAATCACAAATAAAGAGTCCTCATGAAAATGTAAGCTTTTTATTTTGAAATAATTTGAGACTTAGAGAAAAGTTGCAAAAACAATGTCCATATACTCTTTACCCAGCTTCCTCTAATTTCAATGTCTTCCTTAACCATGATACAATGATCACGACAAAGTATTGTTAACTTCATTACAAACCTTACTTGAATTTCACTAGGGTTTTTGTTTTAATGTCCTTTTTTTGTTCCAGGATAATGCAGGATCCCACATCGCATTTGTCACTTTTCCTTAGTCTTCACCGATCTGTGACAGTTCCACAGCCTTTCCTTGTCTTTCATGACCTTGATGCTTTTCAAAAGTACTAGTCTGCTACTTTGTAGAACTTCTCAGTTTGGGTTTTCTATGATTATGTTGAGGTTATGCATTTTGACAGGAATAGCAAAGAGCACAAAAGTGATCTTGTACCCTTTGTAGTATGTCATATCAGGAGGTATGTGGTATAGATTTCTCTTATTATGGGTGATGTCAACCTTATCACTTGATTAAGGTGGAGTCAACCAGATGTCTCCACCCTACATGAAATTCTAAGCTCTCTCCAAGGAGAGGTGACTCTGTCCTCTGCCTCTTTCACAGCAGAGAGCTCTCTTTCTGCTTTGCAGGGAAAGAAGCCAGTGGATGGATGGCATTAACCCTGCTTCTCCACACACCCCTCTCGCCTTGGTAGCAGAGCTGCCCTTTCCCAGGCTGAGGTCAGCCTCTCGCCCTGGGCCAGGACTGGCTACATACTTTAAGAGGCCCAGTGCAAAATGAAAATGTGGAGCCAAAACCGGAGCATTAAGCCAAGAGTGAGGCCCCTCTGAATATGGGGCCCTGTGTGACTGATGGGTCTCATGCCTGTGGAGCAGGAAGGGCCTGGGCTTTGGAGCGCTTCCCTTCCACCTTCTCAAAAACCTTGAGGAAGCCCCCTGTCTTCTTGTCAAGTCAGTCTGTGTCTTTCTCACTCATCCACCTTATTTTGTTGGCTTTTAACTATGCTCCAGTGTCTCCAGTGGAGGAGGAATGCCTGCATTTCCCGCCTTCCTGCTGCATCTTCGGGACACTCTGATCTGTAAAGGCCCTCTCTGAGGGCCCTCGTGACCTCGTGTTGCTTTATTTCATACCCTTTTCTCAGGCCCCCTTCCTTGACTACTCAGCAGCTCTTGCCACTGTTGCCCATTCACCCCTGGAAACAGGCTGGAGCCTTGTTATCCAGAACAACATTTTCTCCAGGTTTTCCTCCCGCCTCAGGCTGCTCGCTTTGCTGGTTTTATTGAATAATCATTCTGTAGTTTTGATTTATTATATTGCCTTAACTCTATTTGGAGAAAAAATTTAGCTTTTTTTTCGTTCTACATGTTTTTCTAGAAATGGTAGAATAATACATTTCACCTTTAGGATCTTCAACCTTCTTTCAACTAGTACCCCTTCCTTCTTGTTTAGGCCAAAGGGTACAAAGATACAGTTATCTCGGGTGAATTAGTCTAGAGATCACATGTACAACATGAGGACTATAGTTAATAATATTGTATAGTACACTAGAAATTTGCTAAGAGAGTAGATTTTAGGTACTCTCACCTCCCTCCTCCCAAAAGAAAAGTAACTAGGTGAGATGGTGAATATGTAATTTACTTGACTGTAGTAATGGCTTCACTGTGTATAGGTATATGAAAGCATCATGTTGTATACCATATACACACACACACACACACACAAAAAAAAAACAAAAAACAAAAAACAAAAAAAACCCCAAAACAACAAAAAAACTCCCCAAATAGGCATTTTTTTTTTACTCCCAACAAGCCATGTTAACTTATTAGGATAAAAAAGACTTTTAGTTATTTCTAAAGCTTTTAGAAGCTTTTTCTTCAAATACAGGAATTATCCTGTGTCAATTTCAGTTGTGGGTATCAGTTTCCTGACCCCTGGGAGTCTCAGACCCTGGAAAACTGCACAGCTCTTTGTCCTCCAGCTCTCCAGTAGGTGGCAGCGAGGAGGCATGGAAGGGGCCTTTGTAGCGCTTGGTGCTGGCCTTTGCCTCCGGCCTCTCTCTGCCTTTCCTTCTCAGTTAGAAGAGGCTTTCTCTTTGAGCAAAGAGCTAATTTGCTCACTTTTGTATGGCTAAGAAGAGCACAGCCGAATTCTTTTTACTGATAGATAAACATGTGTTTCTATCAACTAAGCTACGTGTTTTATTTTCCCATTATATTCCAACTAGTAGTGAAAACTGCTACAGTTACATTACAGAAAAATGGTTCTTTTGACAAGTTTCTTTTTTTTTTTTGAGACAGAGTCTCACTCTGTTGCTCCAGCTAGAGTGCCATGGCGTCAGCCTAGCTCACAGCAACCTCAAACTCCTGGGCTCAAGTGATCCTTCTGCCTCAGGCCCTCGAGTAGCTGGGACTACTCTAGAGTAGCTGGGACTACAGGCATGCGCCATGGCTAATTTTTTCTATTTTTGATAAAGACGGGGTCTCACTCTTGCTCAGGCTGGTCTCGAACTCCTGAGCTCAAATGATCTGCCTGCCTCGGCCTCCCAGAGTGCTAGGATTACAGGTGTGAGCCACCACGCCTGGCCGAAAGTTTCTACATTACAGTAAAGTGGTTCTTTTGGCAAGTCGTTTTCAAATATAGTTTCTTTAATTTGTGCTGTCTGCACAAATGAATAATGTGTGTGTATGTGTATATGTACGTGTGTATGTATATGTATGCATGTGCGTATATGTGCATACATATATGTGTATGTATATGTATACATGTATGCATGTGCATATGTGCACATATATGTGTATATGTGTGTATGTGTGCATGTGTATATGTGTATATATGTATATGTGGATGGATGTCTGTGCATATATGCATGGTTGTAAGCATCAAGTGTCGTTTTGGCATACAGTGGCATGCTGGGTGCTGTAAAGAAGAAAAAGCAGTGCCACCACTCAGCCTGTGTGCCCAAGGGTGGATTTTGGGCAGTGTAAACCTGAAAGGTTGATAACAGTGAAAGAGGTGAAGAACAGTGTGAGCCAACTTAGGAAGGGTCACAAGGCCATCCACTTCATGCTTCTCCTTAGAACCCTTCAATGCCTTCCAAGTGCATTTAGCTGAAAACCTAAGTTCCTTCTTGTCATTTGTCATGGTCTAAGTGACCAGGCATCTGTGGCTGTCCTGCCTATTTTATGGCTGTCCTTCCCTCCATCCCTATACTTTACCTACACTTTAGTCTCCCTTCTTAGACTAGGTTGAGCTCTTTCCTACCTTGGGGCTTATGTCTTAATTCTGGAGTCTCCTTCTCAGAGGAGGAGATTCTCTGACCCCCTGAATCCCAAGGAAGCTCCCATGGCTACCCTGTCTTGTTGCCCTAATTTATTTCACAGACCTTTGCACCATCTGTTATCACTTGCTTGTTTCCTTGCTTCTCACCTATCCGCACTACTCCTAAAATTTCAGCTCCTTGAGTCTTGTTCACTGCCATGCCCTGGGAGATGTCCCCGGGGGTGTGTCATTTGTTTAGGAGTGGTGCCTCATGGCCAGCGGGCAGTATTGTCTGTGAACATCCTGAATTCCGAGAAAGTGGATGCCACTGCTGCCTCTCAGAGCTGGGCGGGCCTCCCCGGGGACTGAAGGTTTTAGCTGACCTTTAAGGATATATAGAAGAGAGAAGGATTCTCAGTTGCTGTTTTGTTGTTTTTAAACTTGCACTTCAATTAGGGGTAGATTCTGACTTTCCAGAGTCCTGGAGCTCTATGTGATGCAGCTACTGATGGTGAAGACTGGGCTGGTAAGGGTAGCCAGTGGTTTGCTGGCCCTGGCCTGATCTCTACTTGTTTTTGGAACTGGCCACTGCTGCGTCTCCAGTGCATTGATCGCGTTACAGGCTGCTGTGGGGTCCCATGCTGTGTCCCCACGAGGAGAAGAAGTCGGAAGAAGAGCAATTACGCTCTTATTCTGAAGGACACTATTCCAAAAGGATTGGGACATGGAATCAGCAGCAGAACTACCTAACAGAGCTGTTTTCCCTGTTGCATTTTTGTGGGAGAACACGATTCTCATAGAAATATCCTGGTTATTATTATTATTACCTAGAGTGTGATTGCTGGTGCATGAGTTCTTCTGTGGGTGGCT